CCAGAGCCACTGTGTTTGGTGGTGGCGTGGGGTGCGGGGTGTGTGCCGGGGATCCTCTGCACCTCTGCGTCCCAGCTGAGATGTCCCTCCACATCCCATGCCCATGCCCTCTCTCCTTCCAGCCTCCAGCGTCACCACCTTCACCGGGGAGCCCAACATGTGCCCACGCTGCGGCAAGAGAGTCTACTTTGGTAAGGTGGCAAGCGGGCAGTGGGTGTGTGCCCCGGGGTGGCACGGCCCCACGGCACTGGGCCTCCATGCAGGACCCCTGGGGCACGCAGAGGGGCTGGGAGGGGGTTTTGGCTCAGAGATGGGGTTGGGGGCACAGAGGGATGTGCTCAGGGAGCCTGCAGGAACGGGTCCTTTTGGAGGAGCTCCTGGGTGCAGGGCTTCATCTGCATTGTGTCCCATGCTGTCACCTCCCAGGTGGGTGGCATGGGCTTAATAGCTGTCCTCGGCCAACCTCTGTCAGCTGTGAGGCAGCAGAGGGGTGGGAGAGATGCGGGTGGCTGGGGTGCACACGGCTGTCTTGGGATTTTGTATGCAGAGGTGATGTCCCCATGGGGCATGCTCCCCCTGGGCATGTGTGCAGGGGGGTCAGCGTGACCCTCCCTCCTTGTCCCTGCTCTAGCCGAGAAGGTGACTTCGCTGGGGAAGGACTGGCACCGTCCCTGCCTACGCTGCGAGCGCTGCAGCAAGACGCTGACCCCGGGGGGCCATGCCGAGGTAAGGATGTACTGGCCCCGAAAGCCCCAGGCAGTGCGCAGGGAGGATGCCAGCGGGGCATGGCTGAGCTGAGCTGTGCTGTGCCACACCGGTTGGGCAGCCCCTGGCTTTGCAAGAGGGCAGGGTTGGCAGGAGCAGCTCCTGCAGCCTTGGGGAACGCTGGGGGTGCGGGGGTGCGGGGGTCTGCAGGGGACGAGCAGGGTGGGATAGGTGCCCAGCCAGGGCTACGTGTCCTGGGGACTGGCCTTTCCCTGGACCCCTGCCCCGGGTGACGTGCTTCTCTCTCCGCCCTGCACAGCACGATGGACAGCCGTACTGCCACAAGCCCTGCTACGGGATCCTCTTCGGGCCAAAGGGTGAGTGCCTGGGGGTGCATGGGGTGGGGAGCTGGTCCGAGGGCACGCGCCCCGCCAGGGCTGCCGATCTC